GGTCAACTAAAATAACAAGTAGAGGGGCCTTAGATAATTTCCACAAATTAAATAGACAGTGGATGTTCCTGTCAGGGTGTCCTGGACTCTCCCCCTCCTTCTCCTATGAGACCTTGGATGGGGGCTCCAGCCACAGGTGGAGTCCGGGTGCTGGGATGCAGCCCCCTGCATTGCCAGGTAGCAGCCAGCACAGGGTGTAGCCATGGAAGAGAAGAACCACTTGCTTGTGCTCGTTATGTTCTGTGGGTTAAGAATTCCGACCCGATAGGCATGACCGCTCTCTGCTCCATGACATTTGGGGACTCTGAATGGGGATAGTAAGATGCTGAGACTCAACCCTGCTGGGAGTCTCCCCCACTCCTGTGTCTCTGTGCTGACTGCAGTGACTGAGGTGACTCAGGCTGGGTGGGGGTGGCACCGCCAACCAGATCTGCACGTCACCCCGAGGTGTGGCTCAGGCCCCTCCCAGCATGGTGCTGGGTTCCAGGATGGAAACCCCTGAGGACCAGTGGAGGCTGGAAAGCCTTTTCTGAGATAACCTCTCAAGTCACACAGCATCGCCTCCACTCAGGCTCTTGGTACAGAGGAGCAGCTAAGGCCAGCATGGTTTCAAGGGGAGGACAGTCGGACTCTGGCTCTTAATGGGAGGATGGCCAAGTCTCCATGCAGGAGAGCTCAGGGAATGGAAACTATGGCGGCTGTCTTTGTGAAATACAACCTGTCAGAGAATTACAGCATCTCAAGGCTGGAAGATGCCCTAAATTCACCCTCGGGCATCCTTGGACACCACCTCCATCCCTTCTCTGATGGCTTGGCCCCTGCTCACCCTACCTAGGCTGATGTGTACTCCAGACATGGTACCCCCTGCCCACTGGGTGGCCCATTCCACCTTGGAGCTACTTGGACCCAGACATACTGCCTCCTTGTCTTGAGGTGCCAGCTGACACCAGGGACCTCCTTCTACATACTCTGGACGATCTCTCAGGGTTGCTGCCTCCCTCTGCTTTACCACAGCTTAATGGGGATGTGAAGACTGCTAGCATGACTTCCCTCTGACAGTCTGGCCTCCCACCCCCATCTGAGTCTTGACCCTTCAGAGGTTGCTCAGGTCAATCCATGAAGTAGATACCCTCTCGGGTGCCTCTGTGGTTCCTACCCATTGTCCCACTGCTATAGGTTTGGTTTCATTTGAGTGGTTTTCTTGTTGGGCACCATTGGGGATGACCTCAAGCAATGAAAATCATTGGAGTAAATTGAATTACTCCAATTCACCTCGTCAGACATTCGTTTAAGAATGGATACATGACTCAGAGGAGACCCTCTGAGGAGGGGACAATTGCCAGGGCTTCTGGTGTTCCTGCCCCAGAAAGAGTTGTAAGGGGAAAGGCTGCCCTTCTTTGCCTCTGACACAGTGGCGATGCCTGGAACTAGTGAGGGCAAACCAGTGGAAGAAGGGAGAGAGCCCTTGCCATATGGGGCATTTACCACATAAGCCATTTGCTTGATGAGTATTTAGAGAACACCCAGGTGCTCTGCTAGGTGCAAGGGAGACAACAGGGAGCGTAAAAATTCCTTCCTGGAGCTGACCCTCTAGTGGATGAGAGTTGAAAGGTGAGTGAATGATTGGTTAAACAGGAGGCTGATGCATTCCACTTGCCCCTGGGCCTGCTTTTCATTTTTCCTGGGTCCTCCTCTCTCCCCAGAGGCTGATCTAAATGGGAGGCCCTCTGTCCCATCTCAGCTGACCTCAGCTAATGAGGAGCCTTGGTGGGATACGAGAAGGGAGAGAGGATAGAGGTCAGACTCCCTGTGAACTAGACTGGGGTTGCCAATGGGTCCTTCCTTATCAGAAACCATGGCTCCAGCTCTTGGCAGGGACTGGTAATCCTGCTCTCTGGTTCCTTTACCTTCAGCCTTCCTGGATGCCCACGCTCCTGTTTTTCAGCTCTCCACTAATCTTCCTGTCCTGAGATCACTTCTGAGCCCTCTGGGGTAGAAGTTCATCTCAGGCAGAGGGCAGAACTTATACAGAGGCCCTGAAATGGACCTGGGTGTTCAAGGAACATCAAGAAAAGTGGTATGAAGAGAACAGACATAGCACAAGGGAAGAAAGTGGATGGCAAGGTCAAGGTCCATGAAAAGAGCAGAAGCTCTTAGTACCATGTACCCTCTGTGGGGCTTTAGTGCGCATGGGCACAGAGGGTCTCCTGAAAGGATAGGAGCATGGGATGGACAGGTGCTGTGTGTTAATAGAATTGCCTGGCTGCTAGATGGGAAGGGGGACCAAAGGGGTCAGGTAGGAGCAGATAGCCAGTCAGGAGGTAGCTTCATGGACTGAGCAGGAGAACATGGCAGCCATAGCAGCAGATGGGGGAGTCCTTGAGTTTTGGATATATTCTGAGGGTGCAGCCAGTGTGTGTATGATACCCACTGTGGGCCTGGAAACAAAGTTTGGTGCTTTTTTATTTGCATTTTTCTACTTTTTCCAAAATAATAGTATTGCTGCTACCATTATGTGGGCATAATCTGCTAATTCTTTTCGGAGAGGCTTTCTCCTGCTCAACATCCAGTTAACTTGCTCCTCATACTTCTGTTGGAGCTTAAGAATCTCCTCCATGGGGATCCCTGGGTGGTGCAGCGGTTTGGCGCCTGCCTTTGGCCCAGGGCGCGATCCTGGAGACTCGGGATCAAATCCCACGTCGGGCCCCCAGTGCATGGAGCCTGCTTCTCCCTCTGCCTGTGTCTCTGACTCTCTCTCTCTCTCTCTCTGTGACTATCATAAATTAAAAAAAAAAAAAAAAAGAATCTCCTCCATGAGGAAGCCCTGGGGAAAGAGTGAGACAATAGACAGTACATAAGCCCTACCAACATAAAATGTAGCATTTGCACACTGGATTGTTTGGGGGGATTTTGAGAGGTTTTAGATTAGGAAACAAGTGAGAAATAGGACAGAGACTAAAGGAAATAGAACTAATATGCTATTGTTACTAATGATACAAATCTAGGCTAGGTGATGTGGCTTAGGTGTCAGAGCTGAATAGGCTTCCTACACTGGGCCCTGTATTTGGGTGGATGTACTTGTCCTGTGACAGAAGCCCAGCAGGACATTCTGCTTGTCCTGGGGAAGCCACAGAGAATGTCCACCTCTGTGGGGCGCTCACCTCCACTTGGCAGACTAGGGGCTGAGGCAAGCACACCTAGCTGATGACTTCCATGTGAAACAGTCAAGTAAGCCATACCACCTCCCCTGGTGCAGCACGGGGAAGGGGAGGGAAGAGTCCTGAATTCTAATAGAGCTCCATTCATAGAGAGTGGGAAAGATGCCTCGGCCTGCCCCCTCCCCTATGACTACAGATTGTAACCCCTCCTCTGTCTGCTTTAGCTACTACCGGTGCTAATACAGTAGCTATTAGCCATGTGTGAGTATTTAAGTTAATTCAAATGCACTTAAACGTTCAGTTTCTTAGTCACTGGCCACATTTTACTGGTCAGTAGCCACATGTGGCTGGATGCTGCTGTATTGGATGGCATATCTGTCCAATACAGCATATTGGACAGTTGAATATGCATATTGGACAGTTGAACTTCATATTAGACAGTTGAAAGTTGCCGCCCCTGGAGAAAGATCCAGTGGATGGTGCTACTCTGAGATTTTTGTATCTCATCTTTGTATCACTGATGCCTATAACCAGGCCTGACTCAGAGGCACAGGGAAATGTTTGTGGAATTGATACCTGAAAGAAGACTCTTGTGAGTTTTGTTTTTCACATCTGTATATCGCAAAGATCCTTCCTCTCCCAAACAGCAAGATGTGATAAGGGGCCATGGATATCTTGTTAAATGAAATAAATCAGTTGAAGAATATGCATTCTGTAATCTTATTTTTTAAAACTTGTTCCAAGTTAAAAAAAAAAGTAAGATTAGGTAGTAGGTTAATTTTCTAGATATGCAAAGAAAATTATGGGTGTTCTCAATCTCAAATACTAACAAAAGGCATTTTAAATAAGTGAATAGACACCATTATTAAGGAACATGGTATTGAAGTATAAGGATAAATCACAGCCGTTGGCCTGATGGCTACTGCATGCAAACCATGAAGTCTTATTTCCTAAGGAGTGTATAAAGGATTGTTTTCTTTCTCAAAAATGGCTCCCTTGCTAAGCTGCAGAGAAGAATGTGGCCAGATGGTGCAGTCTCATTTTTCTGTTCTATCTCTTGAGCTAGCCATACACTTTGTCCGACCTCGCCTTATAGAAATTACTTTTGTTCGCTGCAGAAATAATCTTCACCCTGGGAATAGACCTACTGACTGTGTCCAAATCCAAGAACTGGCACACTGACTGCTATAATCCTCTTGTAGCCTTACCTTGTTTGCTCCTTGCTCTCCTTATTTGATAGTTGATGAGCTCGCAGATGCTAGACCAGAATTCAGTCCATAAAATGAAGACATTCCATCTGACCGGGCCAAATCTAAATTTCTGAAGCAAGGACATTAGAGCACAAAGCTGTGCCTTAAAAACTAACTAGGGCCAGCTAACTCACACTAAAAATCAACCTGGTTTCAAAATGAAGATCTTTAGATACCAAATTTCTAAAAAAAAAAAAAAGCCTATCATTACAAGAATACTAAAACCAAATGAGAATGACAAAATAATACAAAAAAGACCAGTTTAATTAACAGCAGCTCTGCGGTTTTGGTTCCGAGGGGAGAAAATATTTTTATAGAAATATTAAAATGAATGAATTTAGAGATCTGAATATAATCACCCAGAAAAATGGCATTAACAAATAGTTTTAAACATGAGCATGATCAAAATAATTTCTTCATAATTATTTCATCCATTGACTATTACTCATTCTTGAATCATGATGAGTTCTGGGCTTGGGTAAAACTCTATCAGGATGAACGCATCCTTGCAGAGTTGATATTTGAAGAGATGGAACAGTTTGTTATATTACTCCCTTCATAATTTTTTTTTTCTGTTGCTTCTATTTTTCAGACCCACTATGAGAATGGGGAATATATCATCAGGCAAGGTGCAAGAGGGGACACCTTCTTTATCATCAGCAAAGGAACGGTAAGCCCTGGGAGTGCCAGAGGGTGATGCAGGGTGGGACGGGGGCCCCAGGGTGCATTAGCCACCCCTGGAGACGCACGTGCACAGGGTCTTGAGGGAGAAACATTTGAGAATGGATATCCCAAAAATGATGCCAGAGGAAGAAAAAGTGTAACCCTGAAGACCCAAAAGTAGCCTGTGTTCCAGAATTTAATAACCATGATGCTAGATGCCACTGATACGACTGCATAAATGGGAAGATTTCCAATATTTAAATTATATAAATCAACAAGAGAAAGACTAAGATTGCTTTACAAATTCTCAACAGAAAACACAGACAAAAAACAAAAATGAAAAAAATCATAATTTATTCCTCTATATTATTTTAACTCTTCATTTTAAACTACATTTAAATTATATTTATTTTATTTATTTTAATTATATTTTAATTATTGAATATTTTAATATGTATTATAATTATGATTATTTAATTATATATTTTATTTTAATATTGATAAGTTATATATATATATTTCAAGAATTTTATTTATTCATGAGAGACACACAGAGAGAGAGAGAGACAGAGAAACAGGCAGAGGGAGAAGCAGGCTTCCTGCAAGGAGCCCGATGTGGGACTCAATCCCAGATACCAGGATCACGCCCTGAGCCCAGAAGGCAGACACTCAACCACTAAGCCACCCAGGCGTCCCTATTTTTTTATATTTTAATTATATTTAATTATATTTAAATTTTCAAATATATTTTAATTATATTTAAAAACAAAGTGATAAAATAAGTGAACTGGTAAATGGGAACTTACATAGATGAATGCTCTGATAGTCTAAAAAATACCTTATATTTCTTTCAACAGTGAAGCCCTAATCATTTTTGCATTTAAGTGTCCTTGTCTTGCAGCCAATGATTGAAACTTACTTTGCTTCATCATAAGAGATCCTTAAGAGGAATTTGTATGTATGAAGCATGTTAGGTGACAGGAAAGAGAATGCTGGTGAAAAGGGATTTATATACAACTTGTCATTTTTATAATTGTTACTTTAAAATGTAAGTTTAGGGGCACCTGGCTAGCTCCAACAGTAGAGCATGTGACTCTTATTCTCAGAGTCATAAATTCAAGCTTCATGTTAGGCGTAGAGCTTACTTAGAAAGTAAATAAAAATGTTAAACAGTTTTTTAAAAACGTAGGTAAGTCTGTTCTAATTTAGCAAATACAACTGACTCTGGGACTTATGGCTCATACTAAATAAGGAAAGAGAGATGTACAGAGCCACAGTGGTCAGGAGATGTGAAAGATTATAAATCTTGTTGGATCACATTTTCTGTAATCCTCTCTGGACTGATTCTGAATCGAGAATGTGTCAGTGTTTACACTGATGATCAGTCACACTGAAGTGAAGACAGCATCATTTGTGCTCGTATCATACCTGTTCTCTGGACTGATAGTGGAAAGCCTGGGATAATGAAAAATGTCAGGCACCAGCATCTTAAAAATATCAAGAAATGGCATGTCTGACCACAGTTACACTTAAAACTGTATTTTGAATTTTCCAGTGTCAGAGGCTAAGGAATCTTAACATTCTGTGGTTTATGTTTAAATCGTTGGAGCTTTACCATTTGCTATTTTATTTTTTTTAACATTTACTAAAGAATCAGGGGAAATGGAAAATCCTCATGGATATAAATGATTCAATGGGTCACGGGGGACATTTTTTGTCCCGACAATCTGAATTTATTTTTTTCTTATGACACTGCTAATCTTTTGCTTTCATGGAATGATACCTTTATTCGTTGAAGATGAATTTCTGACACACTTCTGTGATTACCCTATTGCTGCACATTTCAAGCACTACCTAAAAGAAGCTGCTGTTTATAACCATATTCAGTTGCAAATAGGGGCATTAGGGGTGCTGCTTTATGAGTTTTGTAATAGGTATAAATAGAACTAGTGAGGAAATGCACCACGGGAACCCATTCCTCTGGCACTGTTTCAGAGCACCATGGGGGTTCTGGGAGAGAAGTAGTAAAAATATGTCAGACTTTGACACATCCAAAATGGAAATACCTATGGCTGGTTAAAAAAAAAAAAAATCCAAGACTAGTTTTTCATGTCATGTAACTTAGCGGCTATGATTTTTAATTATATTCATTATATGCTAATTAATGATGATATATTAGTATCTTCTGTTACACACGTATTGGAATCAGTATTTTAAATCCTAAGAAGCAAGAAATGAATATACTTAAGTCCCGGTGGGAGGAGAGAAAAGTAGAAGTGCCGTTAAGTAAGCAGGCAAATAAGTTGTGAAACTGAAATTTTCTGAATCTGTGTGTTTTGCTTTAGGAATGCAGATACAAATTTGTTTTCAACAAACAGGGATCCCTGGGTGGCACAGTGGTTTAGCGCCTGCCTTTGGCCCAGGGCGCGATCCTGGAGACCTGGGATCGAATCCCACATCGGGCTCCCGGTGCATGGAGCCTGCTTCTCCCTCTGCCTGTGTCTCTGACTCTCTCTCTCTCTCTGTGTGACTATCATGAATAAATAAAAAATAAAAAATAAATTTGTTTTCAACAAATAAAGGGTTGTGGAAGGAAAGGTGGGCAGGGGGATGGGGTGACGGGGTGACGGGCACTGAGAAGGGCACTTGTTGGGATGAGCACTGGATGTTATACTATATGTTGGCAAATTGAATTTAAATAAAAAAAAAAAGGTTTTCGTATGCATTTAAGCAATGATAAAGAATAACCCTGGCAAAGATGATTTCCTTGCTTCCCCTGAACTGGCTTTTCCTTAGAGCACGTTGTAAGACACACAAGAGGTTAGAGTCACAAATGGATTTCCCAAGTTCAAGACACTTATTTAAGTGTAAAACTGTTTTTGTTCTCCTGTGAAGCACAGCCACACAAAGAGAAACTCTGAAATACTTATTTTTCCCCCAATAAACCTACACAAACTGATTTTTCTAAAACTTGAGCAGAATGCTTTCAGTGATGTTTAAAGGACCCAGTGTTGCCTCCTATGGAAACTGAGTTTCCAGTTGCTAGGAAACTTGGCATTCCCTTCCCCTAATAATGAACATCAAGGAATTCACAACAGAGCAATGAAAAATGTCTTTGATAAAACTGTATTCATATGTCCCGGTAGCTGTGTTACATCAAAAAATGTACTCTCTGCATAAATAAATTTAAAAAAAAATGTACTCTCTCCATAAATAAATTGAACCAAACAAAATTGAAGAGGATTGGCCAGCAAAATTTCAGAGTTCCAATAATAATTCAAATACATTTTGATTTTCTGATTCTGTTGAACATACCTTGTACACTGTTAGAAAAAAAATGGGATTCAGAAGTTTTTGTCCATTATATACTATTTAGAACCACATAGTTTTGCTTAGAATTAGCAAGTATAAGTAAGCATGTTGGTGAAGAAATGGGCTTAATGCATTATTTGGTATGTGTCGGGCATGAAAGTTAGGGAAATTTTATTTGTATATGGTACATAAGATTGAAACATGAAAAGCCCTTCCTTTTAGTTCAAGAACAAGATCAAGGGGCACATTATCACCATTTCTGTTCATTGTGGAACTAGACTTCCCAACCATTGTCCTAAGTCAAGAAAAATATGAAAAAAAAGGATAGAAGAGTAATTATACATGTAAACCTGGAAGGAACACGTTTACATCTCTAGAAGAAGTAATAGGATATATAATATGTAAAATCCATAAATCCATATCAAATATATTCATATAATGGGATAACATGCAAAGAGAAGAAATGAACTACAGATACGTATAGTAACATGGAAGAGTTGGATCAAAAGAAGCAAGTTGCAGAACATGTGTGGCGTGTTGCTCTTTTTATGATGGTCAAAACCAGGCAAATGTGTGGTATATGTGCACAGAACGAGATGCAAGTGCATGCAGGCACCTGCATTAATTGCAAACAGTAGAACAGGGATCATAAACATCCGGTTCACCACAGACATGTCGGGAGAGTGAGTTAGGACGGCCCACGTGGAGAGGTACACTAATTTACCCCCGTGTTACACAGAGGGTTCAGTTGTCAAGTCAGACTCCTAGGAATCCTAAATCTGGCCAAACTGATGTATACTCATGACTCAGAGAATGTAGGTAAGCTTCAAGCTCAGGAGGAAAAAAAAAAAAAATTCCAACCCAGCATATATCCCAGATTACCAGATATAGTTCCTAAAGTGTCCTCATTCTGCTTTAAGAGGCATTTTGATTTGCAAGTAACAGGACTAATTTTTAAGTGATATGTGCAGAACGTTGTTTGAAAGGAGAACTGCGGTGTGAGAACTGGGGCTCCTCTATTAGTCACAAAGGAAGGAAAATGATGACCTCAGAGACCCTCATTGTCTAATTGAGTCTTCCCTATTAATCTGTGAATTCCAGGCTTGCTTGCTTTCTTTCTTTCTTTCTTTCTTTCTTTCTTTCTTTCTTTCTTTTTCTTTCTTTCTTAATAATAAGTGTTGCTTTGTTTATAAAACCTGCCAAATTCATACTACACATTTTGTTTTCTTTTTGAATTGTTTTTGTTTAAACATGTTGGTTGTGCACATTGATCTTGTTTAGTGAAGACTTTGATATCAAAGATCTTTATACTGCTTTAAAAGTATCTAATTTTTAGGGGATCCCTGGGTGGCTTGGTGGTTTAGCGCCGTCTTTGGCCCAGGGCTCAATCCTGGAGTCCTGGGATCGAGTCCCACATCGGGCTCCTGGTATGGAGCCTGCTTCTCCCTCCTCCTGTGTGTCTGCCCCTCTCATTCTCTCTCTCTCTCTCTCTCTCTCTCTCTCTCTCTCCCTCCCTCCCTCCCTCCATGTCTATCATCAATCAATCAATCTTAAAAAATATATAAAAGTATCTAATTTTTATTTTGATTCTTAATTTTTAAAATTATAGTTAAAATGGTCTTAAAAACTCAAATTATGAGACTACACGTATGTCTTGTAGAAAAAAGTTAATGTATAGGCAAGTAAAAAGAACGTTAGAATACATACTCTCTTCTGTCTAGAAGGATAAGAAGTTTATGCTCTAAATAGCATTTTATACCAACAATGAGAGAGTGGTAGTAGTGATAGGGGATATTTATTTTACAATCAAATGCTTGAATTTCTGAAATAGGTGAGAGAAGTAGGAGAAGGGGGAAATATGAGAAAAGTAACCAATTTTTTGAGTACTTTTTTTTTCAAAAGATAGCATGAGGGAGGGGGAAGGGCAGAGGAGGGGGAGGATCTCAAGCAGACTCACTGCTGAGCCTGGAGCCCTACAAGGGGCTCAGTCCCAGGACCCTGAGATCATGACCTGGAAACCAAGAGTCAAACACTCAACTGGGTGAGCCACCCTGGTGCCCCGAGCACTTACTATTAAGAGTCTGCTTTTCATAGATTTTTCTCTTTTAATTCATACACATATACGCAAGCCCTCCCGTTTTTTTTTGGACAAGGTGATGAGATAACGGGTTTGAACAGGCCCAGTATTATCTTTAAGGCTCCAGATCTGGTTCTTTCCCATAGCAATGTGGATCCTAAAGCACATTGTAATTTCAGGGAGGAGAATAAGCAATATAGGCCGAGGTCACAGAAGCTATCTCTGTGTATGTGGCTTTCTCTACCCTGACATTTTTTTTAGACTTAAAGATGCAAATGCCCATGCCTGGTGTCTGTGCATATTTAGAATGGTTCATTATTTGTACAGAGAAATAGTGTGGAAATTACAGTCTTAAAGGAAAGCTTTTATTCTTGCTCTTTGAACTGCTTATCTTTTCACATATATGGATTATCCGCATAGGTTTTCCTTCACACTTGTCGCATCAGCAGAAAGTGGTCTATTTGATAGGTGACCCACTTTTTATGGCTCTGTTAGTGCGTTTCAGTAACATCTTTGTAAAGCATATTTCCAAAGCCACTGAAATCTCCCCATGCCTTGCATGCGTCTGCCATTTGGAATTTCTAAACATTTTTGTTGTTGTTCTCAATCAAATGGCAAATGTGTAATTGTGTAATGTATCCTTATATCTAATTGTGAATTGATGATCTCATGGTATAGTTCACTTTAGTTCATGCCTTTTTTTTTTTTTTTTTAGTAGCAAGGGCTGACAAATAATTTCGTTGGGTTGTACCTCATAGTAACAGATGAGAAAACTGAGACCCAGAAATAAAACAATGAATTGATGTGTATCACAGTTTGGTCTCTAGAACATTTGCATCTGAATCATCTATATTAATCTTTTGAAATACAGATTTTCAAGGCCCATTAAGTTAGAACTTCAAGAATAAGGTTCCAGTAGCCTTTATTTTTTTTTCTTCCATTTTTTTCGGATTTTTAAAATTTTTATTTATTCATAAGAGACACAGGGAGGCAGAGACACAGGCAGAGAAAGAAGCACACTCCCTGTGTGGAGCCTGATGTGGGACTCAGTCACAGCACCCTGGGATCACACCTTTAGCCAAAGGCAGAGGCTTGACCACTAAGCCACCCATGTGCCCCTTCTTCCAAGTTTTTTTTTTTTTTTAAGATTTTATTTATTTGTGAAAGACAGAGAGAGGGAGAGAGCAATAGAGAGGCAGAGACACAAGCAGAGGGAAAAAAGCAAGCTCCATGCAGGGAGCCTGACGTGGGACCCGATCCTGGGTCTCCGGAATCAGGCCCTGGACTGAAGGCAGCACTAAACCGCTGAGCCACCCAGGCTGCCCCCAAGTTTTTATTTAAATTCCAGGTAGTTAGCATACAGTGTAATGTTAGTTTCACATGTAGGGTTTAGTGATCCATCACTTACAAATAAGCTTATGCCAACAAATGTGCTCTTTCATCCCCATCACCATTTAATCCATCACCTACCCACCTCCCCTCCAGCAACGCTCAGTTTGTTCTCTACTATTAGGAGTCTGTTTTATGGTTTGCCTCTCTTTTTCCCTTCCTTTAGTCATCAGTTTCGTTTCTTAAATTCCACCTGAGTGAAATCATGTGGTATTTGTCTTTCTCTGACTGATTTCGCTTAGCATTGTACTCTCTAGTTCCAGCCACATAGTTGCAAATGGCAAGGTTCCATTCATTTCGATGGCTGAGTAATATTCCATTATATATGTAATATTCCATTATGTATGTAATATTCCGGTATATATGTATACCGTGTCTTCTTTATCCAATTGTTAGTCAGTAGATATCTGGGCTGTTTCCTTAATTTGGCTATTGTTGATAATGGTGCTATAAATATTGGGACACATTTTATCCCTCTGAATTAGTATTTTTGTATACTTGGGGTAAATACCTAGTAGTGCAATTACTGGATGGTAGAGTAGTTCTATTTTTAACTTTCTGAGGAACCTACAGAGGATTCTGTTTTCTAGAACTGTTCTCCACAGTGGCTGCAACACTTTGCATTCCCACCAACAGTGCATGATGGTTCCTTTTTCTCCACATCCTTGTCAACATCTGCTGTTTCTTGTGTTGTTGATTTTAGCCATTCTGACAGGTGTGAGGTGATATCTCACTGTAGTTTTGATCTGTATCTCTCTGATGAGGAGTGATGTTGAACATCTTTTCATGTGTCTGTTGGCCAACTGGATGTCTTCTTTGGAAATCTGTTCATGTCTTCTGTCCATGTTTTAACTGGATTATTTGGGTTTTGGGGTGTTGAGTTGCATCAGTTTTTTTTTTTTTGCCTCAGTTTTTAAATATATTTTAGACACTAACCCTTTACCAGATAAGTCATTTGCAAATATCTTCTCCCATCCCAAAGATTGCCTTTTGTTGTGTTGTTTCCTTTACTGAGCAGAAATTCCTTATCCTGATGAAATCCCAGTAGTTCATTTTTGCTTTTGTTTCCCTAGCCTCAGGAGATGTGTCTAGTAAGAAGTTCAGTAGCCTTTATTTTAAATAAGACCCCATACTCCGAAGTTTGAGAATCAGTGGGATAGTGTCTGTCTGTCCACATCTAAAAAGCCTCATCAGCATGCAAATGAGCATGTTTATGATACAGCTTGGTGTAAGAGGGTTAAAAACTGCATCCCCATGGTCTTGAAACACAGTGTGGAAAAGTAACCAAATGGATCAGTGGAGAATAATAATTGAATTCTCTCCACCTTGCATGTACATTCTTAATACTTATAAAAATTGTGGTCCTTGTCATCCATTCTCTAAATACAGAAACCTGAAGCATAGTATTCTTAAATGTGCTTAGTGTCTTGCATTGTCTTCAGAAATTAGTTTTTTTCTACTTCATTACATTTTCTAGGTAGGTGAGTTTTAACTATTTAACCATTCTAGACAAAACATAGCCAGCATTATGAATATTAGTAGAACTTGAAGGGGAAGTGAATTAACACAAAGGTACAACTTATTGCATTTATGTCTTCATTCATGCAACAAAAACATTATTCTTTTCCTTCCATGGATTGTCATCCAAGTCAAAAGTCCTATATGGGCCCAAATACCTTGTTTGGATAGTAAAGCTTTCCTGTTGAAGCAACTTCTAGCTCTTTATTAGGTGCTTATTATAAATTGTAGAGAATGTCAAAGGTATACCCACTTCTTTGAAGAGTGTACTGTTATGGTGGAAAAAAGAAAAGACATATATATAAAATTCATAGATCCTTTAAAACTGAAATTCTTCTCAATGAAGCTTGTAGACCTTAAGGACTGCCAGGGGTTAGAGACCTGTGAGGAGGCTTCATGACCATGTGAATGGCCTCGGAACAGAGGTTAGATTCTTTGGGAAAAGAGACAGGCATGTCTTAGAAGAACAACAGGGCCATACATGCGAGGTGCATAGAAAGATGTTCACTGGAACAATTCCAAAGCATGTAAACAATTTAAACGTCCATCTATAAGGAAGTGGATGAATAAACGTGGAAGAAGGCATTGAGTCATTAAAATGGATGAACTAGATTTATCTGTGAAAAGGATGGATAAGTAATAAAACAATGTTGAGAGGAAAAAAATGTGAATTGCAGAATGATACATACTGTATTAGGCTATTCATATATTTTTAAAAAGTCAAACATATAAACACATTAAAGAAGACTGGAGGGATGCTCATTTAATTCATTATAGCGCTTGCTTCATAGGAGGTCGGAAGGAGGACTAAGTGAAATTCGAATTTCTGAATAATTTATTACTTCTTGAAAACAGCTTGAAACAGCATAACAATAACTGGAGGGCATTTCTTATGGTTTGTATGGAAACGTGTGATACTCTTCTTGGTCCTGTCAGTGGTAATGTACTCACGGTCTTCATAGGAGTAATTTTAAAAGAAGAAACATGAAGTGGAAATAACATGACCAATCAACCAATTAGTTGATTTGATCAATCAGCATGTGCAGTGCATGTCAGACTTTCATTGTTTCTCTTTGTAGGTGAATGTCACTCGGGAAGACTCACCCAATGAAGACCCGGTCTTTCTTAGAACTTTAGGGAAAGGAGACTGGTTTGGAGAGAAAGCCTTGCAGGGGTGAGTAGATCACATGTTATAGTTCTTGCTGAGCACTGCATAAATTCCCGTCTCACATATTGAGCTCCTAGCAAAACAGGCTGTATATTTGCGGTTTCTCCTAATCCTGGACCCAGACCCTTGATGGTCATTTTTATTTATTTCCAGGTGGGCTCGTAATGCCTTTATATAAGCTCAGGATTAATCAATTAACTTGTGTCACATTATTTTTATATTAATGGGTAATTTCTCAGCTTTATTCTTCTTGTCCACAATCTCTATGAAGACTCTAAAAGAGAGGGGAAAGAGTCTCCCCTAAGCTAAGCTTACCTTGTGTGGCAGTTTTGCTCTGAATCCTAGGAAGATGACTGGTTAAGAGTTTGGAAATCCCTGGACTGATGGTACAAACCAAGGATCAGAAGGCAGTGGAGGCTTGCTGGGCCTCACATCTGGGTGGTGGTTGTCATTGCCGCTGTTAGAGGTGGAGGTCACGTACGAGAAGATTCCTGGTGGATGGGCTCCAAAGGCTGGTCCCAGAGAGACGTTCTGTAAGGTCCCTGAAATTCTTCTACTTGTAAAGCAAGTAGATGCTCGAGAAACAAGCATTTGGGATCACTTCCTACCTACTATGGACAAAAAACCCAAAATTGATTTTGTACTATACATATTGCAGGACGCATGACAAATAGGACAGATCTCTTTGAGCATTCTCTTCTTGTTTTCCAATAACCAGCACATCTCTATTATCAGTGTATAAATAGATGAGACTTTCAAAACTCAGTGCTGTGTGTATGTACAGAATCAGAAATATATATATATATATACACATACTTGAATCAGAAATAACCAGTAAACATTTATATTTGTATGACATTCCAGATGGCCCAGTGTCTGCTATGGAGGAGCAGCAATAGGATATAATTTATCCCTAAAATATTTGGAACAGGGAGTTTTGCTTCCATTATACTTTCATTTAAAAATTACATTATAGGCATTTTGTTTAAAATTATTATCAAGATACCATTTAGCAGGTTTTAATTTTTAAGCCACAGATAGCAGCTTTTTTTCTTTCTTACCCTTTCACAGCTACAGAAATGAGAGATCCTGCTAAGTCATCTTACGTACACCACATTACCTTATGAAAATTCAGAATTCAATGCATTTCACTTGTTTTTCTTCTCCTTTGTTCATTTGATCCTTATCCGATGAGTATGTATTTGCCATTAGATTTTTTTTTCTAGAGGCGAAGTTGAAAGAAATACCATGTTCACTGTACTTGCCACAAAAGAATGCAGTAAGCATTATCTTTCTAGTATAAAGTGTCCAGACCCATCCTTTGAACTTGAATCCTTCTTTCCCTTGATTATACGTAGAGGATTCTAGAGAATAATGCTGCCTGGTTCCATTGGTCCAAGATTAACTGCCTGTATGAAAAATGTCATTTCCAAAGAACCTGAAACATTTTCAGGCATTTCTGATTGAGATCACAAGTGGAACACCAGAAGATACAACATCATTGAAAATGGACAGGTTTGCTTTTGTAGCTTATTGCCACTGGATTTTGGCGCCAAGTAAAGAAAGCCTTTTTGGCAAAAACCCCTTTCAATGGAAGAATGTGTCCTAAGAAGTGACCCTGAGGATGCAGTTCATGGAAAAGTTAGCAGATTGTGTCTGGTGTCAGAATTTAATGGCATTCCATCTAGGTTGAATTCATTCTGGCATATGGCTATTCTCATGAACTGTCTGGTGCCCAAATCTCTCATATGCATTCAGTCCTCTGCACTGCTGGCTCCTCCCCCCACCTCCCTACCCTATCTTCCCCTACAAACCTTCCCCCACCTACCCTTCCCCCAGGAATTTATTTCCTTCTTGAGCCCTTTGCTTTTGTTTTCTCCAGGCTCAGCCTGGCTCAGCCTGGCTCCATAGGCCTATTCTAAACGCCCTCTTAAATGTCACCTGGGATTTGCTACTTGCAAGTCCTTTTCTGCCTTCTTTGGACTTCCCTTCTCAGCCATGGTTTTACATGCCGACCACTCCTTCCTACCTTCAAATTTCCTTTCCTTTGGGTCCCGTGCAACTGTTAGCACTTGTTAGAATTTTTGATTTGATTTCCTAAAATTCATCAGTGTTGTATCCTCAACTCTATTCCATGCATGTTGACATACATGGGGATCTTTGGTAAAAAAGATCCTTTGGCATGTCACTTTGGTAAAAAAAAAAAAAGTCTAAATCTTATATTCTGATTTGAGCGGAGTATCTGGCACTTTTCAGATACTCCACATGTATCTGTTGAATGAATGGGTGAACGAATGAACTAAGAAACAAATGAGCCTCTTTAATGAAGCCCAATCAAACATTTGCTTCTTGCCATTGATCACTTTCTCCACTTGGATCTGTTTGAAGGTAAGGGGTTATGAACTCGCTTGTCTACAGGGAGCAGGCTGATAATGTCCATGAGTAGGGTAAGGTGGCAAACTAGAACCCCCTTTTTTTTTTTAAGATTTTACTTATTTATTTATGAAAGACACAGAATGAGAGAGGCAGAGAGAGAGAGGAAGGCTCCACGCAGGGAGCCCAATGTGGGACTCAATCCCAGAACTCCAGGATCACGCCCTGGGCCAATGGCTCAATCACTGGGCCACCCAGACATAGCTAGAAACCCTTCTGTGAAGAGGAGACCATTTACTGAGCTCCAGCTGATTGTTAGACTTTTTTTTTTTTTAAACAAAAAAATCTAGGTTTTGAAAAAAAAATACAAAATGTGATTTTGTAACTTGATTTTTGAAAAACGCTCTGCAAGCAAATACAACAAACCCAAAAACCAAACCAAACATTTCTACAAACAATTTGACCTGTGGGCTGCCATTTTGTGGTGTCTATCAGATGTGCCTTCTTAAGGCCCTGTATCTAGATTCAACTGAGGGAAACCGATTAGGTGAGGTCTTCTTGATTATTTCCTTGTTTCAATATATTTTTTTAATGTTTTGATGTCTTATGTGTGTAACTTGTTTTTTTTTTTAACCCTAAGTATCTATGTTCTTTTTTGATCTTTTCTTTGAGTCTCAACATCTCACACAAGAAATTCTAACTTTTCATAAATCAGATTGATTTGTTTCACTGACTTTCCTCTAAAAACCTTAAAAAATTTACCTTACTTTGAGATAGAAAGTCTTCTGAGCACTGTGTGTATACTTTTGGGTAATAACTATGCTTTTTTGCAAGTCATGTGATTTTAATACTTGGAAGACCAATTACATAGTAGTTAGCATTCTCTGTATGTACCTAACACAGCATTTCAGATTGTTGTTTTCTCACATATAAAATTTATATGTACTTGGAATTGTTGATTTGTTTTCCTGAGGATATTCGGCAGACCATTAAAATATTGATGGATTAGTAATTTTGACATGAGTCCTTGACCACTCTTTTTACATTTCAGAGTGCCTAATACTAGTATTGGTGAAGCACAGTTGAATGACAGAGCTGAAATGTGAGCTCAGTACCTCGACTCCAGAACTCCCTTCTAGAGTTCTGCCTCTACATGTAACAAGCTCCATTTCCTTGTTCTGTGCAGACAATAGAGTCCTAGACCTTGCCATCTTATAACCTATATAATTACCATCCATTAACCAGTAGCACCTCGTTACCAGAGAAACTGATGTCATGGATTGCCTTCACTTTAGTTGATGTGAAGCAAATTATTCAGTATTCCTTGACTCAACCACTTTTTTTTTTTTTTTTTTACTGTAAATAATGGTTTTTCCACATCAGAGGAAGGGCAAAATGTCCTGTTTACAGAAGGACTCTTTCCTTATGTACAGGAAAACTAAAGTTGTGTTTGGGAGAAATTACTGCAGGTGTAGTCTGGTAACTCCTGAGTCAATCCATCACACTCTGACGTTACTATGGTTTCAAGCTCTCTCCACCTGTCTTGAAACCACGCAGGATCCGCAGAGGCATCAGATGGTGTCAAACTCTCAGCCACACCCACGCTATGCATCTAGAATAAGGGTGGGGGGGAACCCTAAGAGTAAGTGGAAGCTGACAGAGATGGGGCTGAGCTCCCACTTGCCCCTACCCTCTTCCCCTGATGTTTGAGTCTTCAGCGTAGCCTGTGGTTCCAGCCTAGAAGTCAGACTGCCTGGGTTGGGATCCACTTTGTCATTTATAAAGTATGAGACCCTGAGACGTTCTTCTTTAATCAGAAATGGAGGTGATGGTTGTACTTAACTTTTTTTTTTTTTTTTTTTTTTTTTTGGTTGTTGAGAGGAATAATCAAGGGGATTGTTACAAAGTATTTGAGTAAATGTGGAGAATTTAAATTAGGCTCAAAACAAAGTTCGTTGCTACCATCAGCACTACCACCATCTTGTTTTTTTTTTTTAATTTTTATTTATTTATGATAGTCACAGAGAGAGAGAGAGGGAGAGAGAGGCAGAGACATAGGCAGAGGGAGAAGCAGGCTCCATGCACCAGGAGCCCGATGTGGGATTCGATCCCCGGTCTCCAGGATCGCGCCCTGGGCCAAAGGCAGGCGCTAAATCACTGCGCCACCCAGGGATCCCCACCATCTTGTTTTCACTGTTATTATCAACAGCACTGGCATCACCACCATCATCATTCCCCAGAATATTCTGCTACTTCTTGACCAAATTTAGAGCACTTGGTATGATTAGCATAGCATTAGATACGGAGTCAGCCACTCTCTGATTATATACCTTTGAGCCACTTAGCCATTCTGGGTCTCTGCTTCTGAATTTGTAAACCAAGACAGTTGGACTAGGAGATCTCCAAGTATCCGTAGGTCACAGCTTCTGCTTCTCTGGGATTTGGCTTCTTTACATTTGAAACAGACTCCTAGATGCCAGCTGCTGCCCTGTGCCACCCTGATAAATGGCGGCATTTAGTAGAAGGCCACTACCAGTGGGGCACTCCCTCCAGGAGCCCTCCTACTCTTGCCTATCCTCCAACACCTATGCCACATGCCAGCCTCTGTCAGTGTTAATGGAAAAAAGAATAAG